ATTTGTCCTTTCAGTTAAATTAAATTGGAGCTTTAGAAGTACCCAAGATCAAGCCATTGGGATAGCAGGTGTCAAATCTTAACTAATAATACAATCCTTCATTTCCTTGTGGTTTCGTTGTGAATTGAGCATTTCCATTTTTTTCTAACTTTGAAGTCTTCCTCCTATTATACATGCCGGAGGGAAAACTCCCTCGTCACACACAACAGCCTGAGGGTACCCCACTCTCACCTTCCCTCCCAGTGCACACTCTAACCCTACACCACATATACACACATACAACACGGACAACTTTAACACATTGGTAAGACCTTGGCTAAAGAAGAGTAAAACTGCTCTCCTTGAGACCAAGCAAATACCAAAAAGAAAATGTATTTAACATGAGCAATTTTGTGACACGTCACATTACTAATGCAAAATTTCATGTCTTGCATTAAAGTGGAGCAGATTTAAATTCCACTATCATATAGAAATGTTTAATACCATGCTTTTGATAACATGCTTCTAAGATTTGGGGTTTAGTATACTTTAGTGGTTTTAAAAGAAGTTTTGGCATGCACTAGAAGATAAAAACAAGTTACAATTAAAAGGGATTTGAAGAAACCACAGTTGAATTATGTTAATAGCAAACATGTGCTTATTTTTTGTGTAAGTGTGCATTTTCCTCTTTAACATCTACATAGTAATTTTTAAAGTATAAATTGCAAAACATATGGCTTAGCTGTTCTACACAGGTGTTACGTAGTGCTGGAGAACATATTGTGCTTATATGTACTCAACCATATGCTTCAATCCTGCTCTTACAACAAATACTTTATAGACTTCCTGCTATTTATATCAGGAACATGTATTTGGCCTTGATATCACCTGCTCTTTTTAGTACAGAGACTTACCAGGAAACTTCTGGGAGCTCATAAAATCTACAGGAAATAAATACAATCTTGACTTTGTTATTAAGGTGATTGAGTTGGTAAGGAAGTGGTTAAAAAAACTTTTATGATGGTAAGTGTAGAATGAAATAACAATGTGTTACCATTTTAAGCCTTTCCTTATTATTTTATTCTCCCCAAAACCTTTTTGCATCTGTATAAAACCTTAACTCTGTGTATTGAAAAATTATTTCTCATACCATACTTTACTCACAACTCTCATTTTCAACAATGACATTCTATGTACCAATAATAGTAACTAATAATAAATAGCAGCTGACATTGGATAAATACTATCATAGACTTTTGGGTCATATTAAAATAACACTAGAACCATCATCCCATCCAACTTCAGATCCATGGTTTCTCTAACCCAGTGATTCTCACTCCCAGCTGTGTATTAGAATTACCTGGTAAGGTGGGGTTTCATCTCCAGAGAATCTGTTCTGGGATGTGGCCTGACTTTAGTATGTTTGAAAACCCTGAGTAATTCTAAAGCGCAGTTTGCATTAAGAACCATTTTGCAATCTAACTATGGCTACAACCTCCCGCTGTGTCAGGGAGGGGGCTCTGAGGAACAAGAACAAGAGAATACCCTTCAGGAAATACACTTGACACCACCACCAACAATGATAAGCTGCTAAGTGCAAACATTCCAGATCAGATTTTATTACTTATGTAATCTTTAAAAAACACTATAATGGGTATATTATTGTCCTCATTTTTATCGAGGAATAAACTGAAGCACCAAGAAGTTAAATAAATTAGCAACAGTCATGGAGCCAGTAAATAGTGAAGCCAGACTCAAACTAAATCTGCATGAAAGCAAAATTCATACTCTTAGATACCACACTTTACATATAGTTAATGTCACACTTTAGATATATTTTCTTCATGATCCTTAGCTAAAAGTAGGCTGCCGTCTAGGCTGAGCAGATAACCTCTTAGTATCAGCCGGTGGTGACAGACATTTTCATTATTCTTCATCAAAGAGCCACCTCTAGGAAAGTGGCCACTGCCAGGGTTATTTTTACATGAGGACAAGAAGCGGGAGTGTCCACCCTGCAGTCTGTGGGCTGCATGTAGCCCGGGATGGCTATGAATGTGGCCTAACACAAAATTGTAAATTTACTTGAAACCTTTATTTTGCTCATCAGTTTTCATTAGTGTTTGTGTATTTAATGTGTGGCCCAAAGACAACTCTTCTTCCAGGGTGGCCCAGAGATGCAAAAAGGTTGGACACCCCAGGACTGCATTTTACATGAAAGTGCAACCTAATACTACGGGTTGGTTATGATCATTAGCTAGTGGTAGTACTTTAAAGAGAAGTGCACATTTTAAGTGCAGCAATCAATATTTGGTAGGCACAGACTACTTCTTTCAGTAGATTATCTGGAATTTCTATATGGGAATTGCTTAGGGGACTGTATATGGTAGAAAGGATGAAATAGCAGACTTGTCGTAAAACTCCTTTTTAAGTTTTTTTAAGAATGAGAAAATGTCAACTGTCCAGGTCAAAGAATTGAGGGGGGAAGCTGGTGGAAACTGCGGAAAAGCCAAAGCCTCCTCACTAAAGAAAACATACTTTTCACTGCTACTGTCCTTCAGGTAAGCAAGGATGTTTATGTAACCATCTGATTAAGGTTAAAAGGAGTGACTTAGGTGCTCTGTAAGTGGAAGTATCTTTATAAGAAAATAGTATTACTATCACTATCCCCTTTGAAAGGAATCTCTTGGGTTTCCCATACATCATCACCTCTTCCTCCCTCTGAACTTAGGTTCTAATTACATCCAACAGCTTCCTGGCTAACTTTTTGCCTATATCCCTCTTTTCTTTAAACTAGCCTGACTATGCTGCCATCTCATTATCAACTCTCCCAACTTGTCTTTCATTTAGTTTTCTATTTTGAAGCATAAAATTAAATAAATGGAAGGCCATGGTGAGGTCTGAAATAAGGGTGTGGAAGTAGAGTCCACCACTGTGTGAGTAGGTGGAAGACAAATGCCAAAATGATGTTCTGGAAGAGATACCAAGGTCAAGGGTAGGACAGCAGGCCAAGTTAGTTGTTATTCACAAAGGCCAGGTGAGGAAAAGATGTGAAATATGGAGCCCAACTGAGGAAGACAGAAAGCAAGGACTCAGGGGAAAGGCAGTCTAAATGAATGTTGGAGACAAAATGCTTATGACAATAGCACTTTTTTGTATGAAGTTCCAAAATGAGTGAGCCAATATATTTAAAGAGCTGGAATGGTATGGACACCACTGCTCTGGCTCTAATACTCGGACATACTTCTGAGCAGGGGATGCCCAGATAACCCCTAGTGTATCCATCACTGGGACTGGCTGTTGTATCACTGGGATTCTGAAACTTCCTTCTCCCATCAGATTTTTTTCAGATCAGTGCAGAAGGGAGTGGTACATGAGTAATCCTAAACAGACTCCTCCTTTTAAATTACCCAGTACCCTGAAGCCCAGGATTGTTCACAGTACACTGCTATATAACAAATACTTAGGAAAACAACCAATGTCTCTGCCTATGGTAGCACTGGAAAACCTGTCCCCAGAGTTATAATCAGTCTGAAAAACAGGGAATGTCACCATGCCTTTTGTTTGTGTCAGAATCTAACCAGGAAATAGAGGCCACTTGAGCATCCATCCCAGGGATTTCAAAATTGGGAAGATGTTACACAGGCAATGGAGGAACAGAGAATCAAATAGAGGGCAGTGAGGCAACCCAAAGAATAATTAAAGAATAAAGCCACTGAGACCCCTGACTGAAGGGACAGAGGAATAAGTAGTATTACTGGCGCTTGGGCAGAAACTAAGAGCCTGGCAAGACTGTTCCAAGGAGAGATGGAGCTGCTGCTGGAGTTGCTGCCCAAGACAGAAGAGAGGGATGAAAACCGCTGGCTTCTCCCTCCTCCCACCCTCCAATCTCCCACCTGGCCTGCCATTAGCCATCTTCAGCTGGAAACCAGATGAAGTAGGTGGCTGAGAAAGTCAGCTTTGCAGGGGTCAGCCACTGCAAATACAGAGCAGAGCAGGGAAGAGTGGAAAACCTGCCTGAGGGCAAACTACTCTGGAGAAGCTAAGCACTCTTCTTTGTCGCCTTCACTACTAGTCAAAGTACGGGCCCTTAGACACACTCTGTATCAGTATTGCTCCTTGCTTCATCTCCAGAATTTAGCCTTACACATTGAGATCCTTATGCCAATCCATTTACTGTGCCATAGGGAATTCCCATTCATTCATACTGCTCTGTACCCTGAACCTCTTCTCCAAACACTCTCTCTTTCTGACTTTAATTGAATCATAATCACATTTAGCAAAAAATCGTGTCATTCATTCTCTCATTTAACAGTGATATATTAAATGGGAATTATATTAATAATAACTTTGCGCTGTTGCATGTGTTTTACACATATTAAGCTGTGTCACAACCACCTTATGTTCCTTTTTATAAATCAGAACACTGAGACATGAAGCGCTTAAGAACCTTGCTAGTAACATAGTTCATAAGTAGCATAGCCAAGAACCAAACTTGTTCCAGCCAGCCCAAAGTGTTGTCCAGCACACATCCCTGTTAGAAATGGACATACAATAGTGACCACTACAGAGAGGATCCCTGCTATTGGAGGTATAGTTTAAGGGGAGAAAATATTTCTAATTTCTCATTTAGAAATAATTGTAGTTTTACAGAATTTACAGAAGAGTTGGAAATAGTACAGGTAGTTTTCACATGCATTTCCTCTTGCTTCCCCTAACATTATCTTCCACAGCCTTAGCATATTTATCATCACTAAGCAATTAACATTGGTACAATACTACTAACTGAACTACAGACTTTAATAGACTTCGCCAGTTTTTCCCACTCGTTTTTGTTCTAGGATCCCCTTCAGGATATTGCCTTTAGTCATCATGTCTCCTTCATCTTCCCCTGTCTCTGACAGCATCTCAGAATTCCTTTTTTTTAATAATTTAAATTTTTTTATATATATAAAATAGAAAGGGGAGAGAAGAAAAAGAAAAATAAAACAAACCCCCGAAAAAATTTAATCTTTATTGTATTTTTCCATTACCATTTAGTCCCCTTCGTCCTCCTCCCCCCAGTGATCACCACACTGTTGTCTATGAGTCCTTTTTCCTTTTTGCTCAGTTCCTGCACCCTCTAGCCAACTAGCTATTATCTGTCATCCTTTTTTTTTATGACCTTGACACTCTTGAAAATTACTGGGTAGGTGTTTTGTAGGAAATCCTCAATCTGGGATTACCTGATGTTTTGTCAGAATAGACCGGAGTTAGGGAATTTGGGGATGAATCATATAAAGGTCAAGGGCCCTTCTCATCACATCATATCAAGGACACATGCTATAATATATACACGATTTATCACTGGTGATATTAGCCCTAATCATTAGTTAATGTAGTTTATTTCAGATTTCTTTCCTGTAAAGTTACTTTTTTTTTTATGTTTTCACATTTTGCTACTTGGAAGTGAATGACTAAGTCTCACCCACACTCAAGGAGAGAGGAATTAAGCTCTCCTTCCTGGAGTGGGGAGCAACTCATTATTACTTGTAATTGTTCTGTTAGGAAATATTTGTCCCTTTTCTTCCAATTATTTTCTAGTTTATTCAATCATTTGTATCAGTATAGAGTTATAGATGTTCATTTTATTCTTTAGGTTATAATCCAGTACTATAATTATTTATTTTGTTTCTCAATTGTCCCAGTTTTGGCTACTGGGACCTATTTCAGTTTAACACAGTGTCCTTTCCACATGTCACCATATTTAAAAGCATTTCTTTGTTTTCTGTCACTGCAAGATGCTTCAGGTACATCATACGCATTTCCTGCCTCAGCTTTAGAATAAGTCATTCTCCAAGGAGCCTGGTTTCCTTTATTGGAGAATTGTATTAGAAACCAAGGCCTCCCAGTGGTCAGTGCCAGAGAATTCACACGTGTTTTGTATTAACCCACATATATACCATAAGAAGACTTTAAGTAAATAAGAATACAAATAGGTTGTTACAAATGCCACGAAGACAAATGTCATATTCTATGATGGAATTATAGGTGTGCCTTAATACAAATGGTGTGAGGTAGAGGTCAGGGTGGTCTTCTCTGCAGCAAGAAAATGTAAGCCAAAATTTATTGACTGAATAGGAATTAACCAGGTGAAAGGACAAGGAGACAGAGTTTCAGGTAGAAGGAGCAGCATTTTAAGAAGAACCAAGTAAAAAGAGCTCAATGTATTAGAATAACTAGAAGTGGTCCATCCTGGTGGCAGCAGAGTGATCCAGAGGAAATGAGGACTGCAGATGGGCAGAGGCTGGATCACAGAGGGCCTTGAAACCGTGGTAAGAATTTCAGATTTTGTCATGGATGCAATGGTTTGATACTGAGGGGTTTTCAATAGGGAGGGGAGGGGCATCGTACTTGACATAGAAATGTAGGGCATGTGAAGTTGGAGCCTCCCCAGCTTCTTAGCTCTCCCACCCCACCTCCAATATAAGCTTTTTTTCTGTTGGCAATCATCTCCAGGAAGCTTTACACCTGGTCTGCAGTCTTATCTTTCTCATTTTTTGGCTGTCAACAAGGCCATACCTATAAAATGAACTCATAAGAGGGACACTTACACACTTCCGTTGTGACCTATAGTCTCATATACATCATTTATTTCAGTCAAAGTCTTTTCTAAGACCAGGCATTTGTCCGATGCCTTGCAGAACTCTAGGCTCTAGTAAATATTAAAAACAATGTTTCCCTTTTTCCTTCTGTTTCTAAGAAGTTCAGGACTACATTTTATACTCAATTATATTTTCCTCAGCTGTGAATTCTTGATAAAATATTTCTCTTTCACGAATTGGTTGCCCTTAGTGAATACTAGGATTATTTATTTTATTATACCTGTACTTTTACTATAAGGAAATTGAAACTTTTTTGAAATTAGGACAGCTACAAATTTTTAAAAAATTAACAAAGAAATAATGAAGCCTATCTTACAAATCAATACTGGAATTTTCTCTTTGGCATGACTGCCAGCCTCAGCTGGAGTATTTTAATAACGCGGACTTCCTGAGTGGTTCTGTTTCTCTGAACAGCTCTAATTACTGCAGGATTATTAGATGTTTATTGATTGTTGGGCCAAATGAATTAACAATGGTCTGTTGTTTTTATTTTTGTTGAATAATGAGTTACTGGTTGTTTAAAAATGTTAATAGTGTTTTATTTAAAATCTAAAGGTTGACTAGGTTTAAAGCAGATTAAGAAAAGTTTATTAAAAGCATAGGCTTAAAAATTAATGGACCAAATGTAACTATAAAAATAAAAATGGGAGGTTCTATATCATCTATAGAGTAGTACTGTTAGAATGCAATGTAGACAAATAATTATCCCTAGAGGAACACTATTACCACCAGAGCTTAATTACGGTTTATTTTCCCTTTCCTCTTGTGATAATTATTCACTCCTTCAGACTAAGAGATGCTGACAGTTCTCTAACAGCATGGTTATTTTTATCCCACACACCCTGCAACTGCCTCTCATTTTAGTCCTAAGACAATGTGTTCATTTATTTTCAGGTCCTAAATTTGTTTTAATGATGTCTATGTTTTTTTTAGATTAATGATTCTCTAATTTTAAAAACCTAGAACAATTTCATTCTCATACTTAAAAATATATTGAATGCCACTTAACATGTTAAGGAATTCTCTGTCCTTAGTCTGTACATAAATTTAAGTTCGAAGGTCGAGGCAGAATAGCATCAAGACTGGAAGTCATAAGACTTGGGTTTGAATGGGAATTCTCTCACACATTAGTTATGTGTGAACTTGGACAAAACAGTTAATCCCTACAGGTTGCTCCTTTGAAAAAATTTTTAAGATAGAGTTAGCAATCAGTCCTCTGTCCAGCTCACTGCATTGTTATGAGGTTCAGATAGAATAATGGCTGAAAACTGTTCACTTTGTACACCATAAAGTTCTTGTCACATGTCAGTCATAGTATATGTACTCATTCATCTCAAAAGTATTTGCTAAACACACGCTATCTGCCACACCCTATGTTCATGCCAGAAATGTAAAGATGTTTGAATAGAGGATTATGATGATGATGACAACAAAATTTCACAGGGCTAAATATTTACATACTATTTCTTATATCTATGTAATATCAGAGTATTTTAAATGAGTTATGATATTTCCTCCTATTAATAATTGTTTTAAATTTATATTTTACTCACTTTGAAAGCAATGATTTTATTCTAAGTTTGTCACAGATACGTGCTGTCAACAATTAAGCTAAAAATCTGGACTTAGGAACAGGATATAATTTATGATTCTATTATTTCTAGCAGAAAAGTAAAAAACTTGTGAATTTTTTATTAAACTGGTACATTCTATCAGTCTTTATGTTTAGTTCCTAGTGTTGTCTCCAATCAACTCTTCCTGTTTTGAACTGACAGTGGGCCCAGGCAGAATTTCAATACGAATTGTCACAGGGAGAGACCACCTGTAGCACCTACTTTTTAGTTTATTTCAAAGTCAGAAGCACAAATGGTCGTAAGGACTCCAAGAGCAAGAGAGATGTGAATTGTGATTGCAAAAGGACTCCAAGAAACTGTAAGTACCACAAGGGAAGAAAGAGACAATAAGATAATGCCAAATTCAAACAAGCAAGCAACAAATACAGATGGAGCAATTCCCATGTATAAAGCACTGTGCTAGTGAAGGGAATGCAGTAGTGACTACACTGATTCTCCCTTCATGGAGTTTAAAGAAGTGAGGGATAATTTAGAAAAGTTAGGAAGAATCTTCTTGGCAAAGAAAACAGCACTAGGGAAGGCCTAGACGTAGGAGGAACTTACTTACTGCCTTTAAGTTACTCCTGGGGCACAGAAAACATGTTCTGAGATGTTCTGCATATCTATATCATACTTACAATGTCTGGTATTATGATGAACACATAGAGATAAACAATGAAATTTCTGAATCATTAGTGAACGATGAACACCAATGACTGAGCATCACTGGATCCACCACCCCCAGTCCCAGAGCTTGTCTACCACTGAATGCCAGACATTCATATCTTCATTGGTAAAGCGTGAATCATGAGATCCACAGGATGATATGAAAATATAATGAGATAATATACAGGAATGCAATTTTTGAAATGTCAGAATATCATCAAAATGTTCATTGTTCATTTTTGGCCATTGGAGGTGTGGAAAGAACATGGGAAAGAACAACATCAAAGAGAACACTATGTTAAAGGGGTCAGAATCCTGACCATGTTTGTAATTTTAATTCTCAAACATCTCAAATAATAGAATGTTTCTTAAGGAGAACTGACCTCATTGTGTCAATATTAAAGTCTCATAAACTTGACTTGGGGAAGAAAAAGTGCTCAGGCCATCAGCCTGAGTAAAGAAATAGGCATTCCTCATTATCAACGCTCACAAGCCAACATACCTAAGTTTCAAGTGACAGAGTAGAACGCGAACAATTAAAGAAGATATAAATGATGCTGATTCAAAAAGTTTGAATAGTTTCCCATAGAATCAATCTTTTTTCTTTATATATTTATATATACATAGATATGTGCAAAAGGAAACTTATTAAAGCTTTATTTTGGGCCTATACAATAATATATATGAAAAAATAATCTACAAGGGCAGAACTTGAAGAAACTCCTACTGTCAACAGTATAATATTTTGATCATTATACTGTTCCATGCCATTATAACCTATGGGCAAGTCTTCTCCATAATAATCCTTTGGGAACTTTCACTAAACGGTCTTGAATGGAATCCAAGTCTTGATTGCTTAAATGAATTCCACTCTCTCCTAAATGATGTTGCAGAGCTGCTTCAGGATGTTAGATAATGGAATTGTGATCTGACAGCTTTAGTGGAACTAACTCTACTAATAAAGCCAAATAGGCCTTTATCTGGGATAATAAAAACAAATAGCACAGTACTTTAAAAAAATAACCATTAAGATATCCTTGGAATAATGCCACATATTTGAGTCTGGAGCAGGAAAATTAATTATTTGGAGAGGAAGTGCACTCACATATTGCTTACTTGCTTTTACTAAAGTACTTGGAGTATGGGAAACAGTCAGACTCTAATGATGTTCATTACATACAAGGAGCTTGAGTAAAAGGCTCTCCGGATGTATGCTGTTAAACATGGAAGCCACTATCTCCATAGGGCATTTCCATATTAAAGATCTTGCAGTATCACCAATTAATTTACTGGTCATAGTATACCAAGCATAGCAAATATGTTTCAACTCCAATACGGATTGGTAGCAGCCTCTAGGGGCACTTTGTTGAAGTGGTAAAATGAACTTAAAGCAAAGATCGTGGATGTGTGTGTTTGAGGGTGAAGGTGAGGGGTTAGCAGTCCCTATACTCTTACAGTGACAGTCATGACTTTGTATCAGGGAAAAGGCTGATTAAGCACAGGCCCTAAGTTACCAGTTACTCACTGTTCATTTGTTTATCCTTTACCTCTTCAAAAGAGACATGGAAGAAAATATAAAAATATAAAGAAATCCAGGCAAAAGGAAAGTGAGGTCAAATAGTAAGGTAAGGTTCCTTAGAAATTACAACCCATAAAATCCTGCATCCTTAGCTAAAGGGTCTTAACATCTAATTCTGAAATTCTGAAGTCAAATTTCAAACATAAGTCATAATCATTTACAAAGTTCACATTACCAAAAATATAAGACAGGCCATATAAATACAGTGGAAGACATTTTAGTGTAAAAGACTAGAAATGGAGTGAGAAGACATGAATTTAAATCCTAAGTTTGCTATTTGGTAGCAATGTAATTTTAAGGAATTAAAATTTGACTATCTCAGAGTCTTCATTTGTAAAATTGGGATAATAATACTGCTTTATGGATTGTTCTAAGTTAAATTACAAAGTGAGCATGATCTTCTCTTTATTCATCTAGATCCATTCCCCTCACTTGTTTATCCTGATCCATGCCCTAGAAGGATGACCCTGCAAACTGCATCACCAGGCTCTCTTTGCCTTTGGCTTCCTGTTCAGTTTTGCCAACAAGAAATAACGTCTCTCCACTGCCTCAATGCCAAGAGTCTAAGGGAAGCTCTTTGTTTTGTGACTACAGCTCCCGGTGGGCAACTGCCTTCCCTAATGCCAGTTCTCACCAAGCTCCAAGACTACTGCCTCACCTTGCTCCTTTGGGCATAAAGGAGTAAAAGCTTCTTGATGTTTGCTATCCCTAGATGCCTCAGGATCATTTTTTGGTTTCCTCATCTGTATTCATAATTCTTATAAATAGTTCCGTCATTAATTCTCATCAGAATCCATTGTGAGCATGTACTCTTTCTGGCCAGGGCCCTGAGTGATACAATAAATATTTATAACAAGGTGGGAAAAGGAAGAGAATAGAGTCCCATTTTGGGGGTGCAAAAGGCCATCCACAGAGCCAGATACTCTTGACAATAGATATTCAATAAAAGTAAATAAATCTAAAGTATGGGGTATGAGACAGGATAAGTGAGAGCAGATTTCACAACAATCTGAGACATGGACCAAATTCTTTTTATCAGATGACTCTTTCTCCAATATAGAATATAAACAGAAGCGAGGGGGCAAATCAGCAGTATTAATCAGCTCCCTTAGCTTGAAAAACAACAAAATCCTATCATTTATAAAGATGTAAAATATTGTTCTAGGTTTTACTAAAATTCATAGAAAAATGGTGTAGCAAAGAGCTTTTTCTTTGTGCCACTTTAGGCCTGGGTGTAGGGTGGAGATAAGCAGGCATAACATCATTAATAGAATGACTAATTCTCACCTGCCTAACCATTTGTGGAATGATTAAGAACTTCCAAATAATGTGCTATCAGAAATGAATTAATTGGCCTCCTTTTCACAAAAGAGAATCAACTTTATGAATGACTTAAACAACAGAGAGAGTAACTAGTGCCCACAAAGTATATTGTTGTGAATTGTGCCCATAGGCACAATTCAAGGTTTATGGGCATTCAGCAAATTCTGTTGTTGTTCCTAGAAACCACCAAAGTCAGATTATTCCACATGCTCCTTTTATAAGCATCTTACTTGTTACTGTGGTCAGGAAAGACACCCTTCCTCAGACTGTCTTTATTGGAGGAGACTCTGTTGTTTTTTTTTCTTTTGACATGTGATTTTACAGAAGAGGAGAGTTGTCTTAGATCCATTGTGGATACGTTGTGCCCATAATCAGACAGATCTTATATAAATAACCACAGCATAGGGGGAACTCATAAAAAAACTCATAAAATGTTTTGGTTTTCTTTTTGCCATTTTCATCCTGTTTTGATTTTCAACATGTGTAAATCATTCTGTTGCTATAAATCTTAGTAAAAGAAGTAAAATAGCAGAGACCGAAAGTGCAATAATGAAGTTTTAATCCTTTATAATTTTTTGGCATGGTCAACTTGATTATATTTGATATATGCACTTACCAGTTTTGTGTTTCAGATGGAACTTAAAACTGTTCATGTGTCCCAGATGTGACCTAGTTTCATTTTGGGAAATGGATGCTGAGTGTTGCACAGGCAAGTCAAACAGATATGGCTATTTTAGGAGCTATTTGATGTAGTGCACTTATAAGAACCAAATATGTAATTCCAGCTGGCCAGTGAAAACCTTTATTGACCATGTACTATGTGCTGAATGAATAAATATAAACACAGAGGACAAGTCTTGATCTGGAGGCACTCATAAAATGGTAAGAGAGAAATACAACAAACATCACACTGTAAAAGAAAACAAATGTAAAAAAAACCAAACCATAAAATGGGTAAATATCAGAAGCTGGAAAAAGGTAGAGAAGCATCACACTAAATGTAGCCATTTTTTTCTGTCTGAGGATAGTTAAGAAAATGCCTCACAGAGCAGGCAGAATTCTAAATTTTAGGAGCAAATTGTAAAATTTTAACTCCATTGTGCATGTATTCTTCAGTTAAGCCACAGTTTCTTTATGGGCCAATATCCACAGATCATTCAGAAACAAGTGGAAAATGACCAGGATAGGCTGGGTGTAAAAGAAGAATCATTAAACGCTTTCCTTGATGTATTTTAAAAATTGGGGTGAAATTCACAGAACATGACATCCACCTTGGCATCATTTTAAAGTGTACTACTCAGTGGTATTTAGTATATTCACAGTGTTTTGTAACCATTAATGCTATCTAATTCTGGAATACCTTCATTATCTCATAAAGAAACTGCCCATTAGCAGTCACTGCCCATTCTCCTTTCCCCACAGCACCTTGCAGCCACTAATCTACTTTCTATCACCATGCTCATTCTGGATATATATGAATGCAAACATACAATATGTGGCCTTTTGTGTTTGGCTTCTTTCACTTAGCATATTGTTTTCCAGGTTCATCCATGTTGCAGCATGAATCAGTACTTAATTCCTTTTTAAGGCTGAGTACTATCTTGAATGTATATACCATGTTTTGTTTATCCATTCATCTGTTGATGGGCACAGGTATAGAACTTATACATGGCAGAATTTCCTTCTTTTTTATGGTTGAGTAATATTCCAAAAAAGTTTTTTATCCATTTTCTTGACCATCTGTTGATGGACATTTAAGTTGCTTCTACATGTCGGTTATTTTCAATAAAGTTGCAGTGAACATATATCTTGGGTGTGCACATATAGTTGAGTATACATATATCTCACTGAAATCCTGATTTCAATTCTTTTGGATATATACTTCAAAGTGGGATTGCTAAATCATATAATAATTTAAATTTTCTGAGGAAACTCATGTTGTTTTCCACAGAGGATGCACCATTTTGCACTTTACAAGTACCAAAAGTGTACAGGGGTTCCAATTTCTCTGTATCTTCACCAACACTTAAAAAAAAAGCCATCTTAACAGATGTGAGTGATATTTCATTGTGGTTTTGATTTGCATTTCCCTGCTGATTAATGATGTCCAGCCTCTTTTCATGTGCCACTGGTGTATCGACCAGTTGTATATCTTCCTTGGAGAAATGTCAATTCAAGTTATTTTTCTATTTTTACTGAAGTTTCTGTTGTGTTGCTGTTAAGTTGTAGGAGTTCCTTGTATATTTCAGATACTAATTCCTTATCAGTTATATGGCTTAAAATATTTTTCCCATTCTATACTTTGCCTTTTTATTCTACTGATTGTTTCTTTTGCTGTGCAGAAGCTTTTTAGTTTGATTACTTGCATCATTTTGCTTTTGTTGCTTGTGATTTTGATATCATATGCAAGAAATCATTGTTTAGTCAATGACAAGAACTTTCCCCCTGTTTCCTTCTAGGAATTTTACAGCGATTTCTAATTTTATTCCATTGTGTTCAGAGAAAAAACTTTGTGTGGTTTCAGTCTTTTAAAATGTGTTGGGATTTATTTTGCAGCCTAGGATATGGTCATTTCTGAAGAATGGTCCATTTGTACTTAAGAAGAATATGTTTACTACTGTTTCAGTATTCTATAGACGTCTCTTAGATCCTATTGAAGTAATATCCATTATTAAAGTGGGGTGTATAAGTGTCCTACTATTACTGTTGAAGTATTTTTTTCCTTTAATTTTCAATTTTTTGATTCATATTTTTTAAAAGACTATTTTTACAGAGAGGGGAAGGGAGAGAGAGGGGGAGGGGAACATTGATGTACAAAAGAAACATTGATCAGTCGCCTCTAGCATGCCCAAAACTGGGGACCTGGCCTGCGACCCAGGCACGTGCCTTAACCTGGAATTGAACCAGCGACCTCTTGCTTTGTGGTATGGTGCCCCACCCACTAAGTCACACCAGTCAGGGCTGCTTCATATGTTTGGGGGCTCTGTTTATGTGTATATAATTGATATATCATCTTGATAAGTTGATCTTTTCATAATTATGTATTATCATTCTTTGTTGTAACCATTTTTTCTTACAGTCTATTTTGTATGATATTAATATAGCCAATTCAGCTACCTTTTTGTTGCATAGAATATCTTTGAATGTCCTTTTTCAACCTAGCTTTTCTTTGGATCTAAACTGAGGTTCCTGTAGATGGTATATGGTTAGATCATGTTTCTTAAACCCATTCTGTCATTATTTGGAGTTTTCATTTCATTCATATTAATGTAACTGCTGATAAGAAAACACTTCTGTATTGCTGTATATTTTCCATATGTCTTATACTCTTTCTTATTCCTCAATTTCTGCATTACTACCTTCTTTGGTGTTAAATATTATATATATGTATATGTATATACATGTATATATAGCCATTTTAATTACTTTATCATATTTTCTACACTTTTTAAGTTATTTTCTTAGTGCAGTCCTCATTCTGCCCTGAGGACTACAATGAACATTTTAATTTATAACAATCTAATTTGAATTAACATCAACTTAGTTTCACTTAAATATAAAAAGTTTGCTCGAGCAACTCCATCTCTTCCTTTATTATCACAAATTATATTTTTATTCATCATGTACACATCAACATAGATTTCCAATGATCATGTTATGAATTTGCTTTTAAATTATATGGGAAAAACAAGGAATTAAAAACTAAAAAATATAAAGACTGACTTCTACATTTACCTATGTAATTACTGTTATTGCTCCTTGTGTTTTCTTCCTTTCCTTCCTCCCTTCCCTTTTCATTATTTTTTTATTTCCCCCTTCCTTTCTCCTTATTTTTTAGAACATTGGTAGGAAAAAGGAGAAAGTTGTATTTTATTATTACTTTTAACTGGGAAGCTTGTAATGTTTTTGGTGATTAATCCTTTCATCTCTGACACTCACAGCGTATGTTACAAATGTCTCTGTGCTACTTATTTGCCTTTTTTATATGCAGGTCCAGCATCCGTAATTAGTTGGTAAGCATAATAAGGGTGGAGACTCTGCTTTATATTTCTCCACATTTCTAGTGTCAAAAGAAATGCTTTATCTACAGAAATTACTTACCATGAGGTTGTCGATGTTCTAGATACCCTGCCTCCTTTGTTCAACAGGCAAGCTATTATTCTTACCATTTACAACGAGAAAACTGAGAACCAAGAGAGTTCAGGACCTTGACCAAGGTAATAATGAGAAGGAGAGAAAAACATGTTCTTCTGGGCTGTGTACCCAACATTGTTTTTTAAGCAGCTTGCCTTGGTTATCTCTTCACACACCTACAACAAGCTTTCCCACTGCTAGGACTAACTTCTGACAACAGGCAGTACTTGTAATGAGTAATCCGACTGAGACAGCATTCACTTTGAGATGCCTATCTGTTCTTTTCGAATGAACACTGAAAGCAAATAAAATAGAATTGTTTCCCTCAGACTTCCTGAGCAGTAGAGAGAAACATTCGAACCTTATTCTCAACTAAAGGGCAATGTTTGTGAGGCTGGCTGTGCACTCAAGTCAAGATGAATGAATTCAAGTGAATGGGGAAGGCAGCAAGACAATAGTTTGCCCTTCTCAAAGCTCGAAGTGGGTGAACCTCGTCTTTTCAGCCAAGGCTTGGAGGAACGAACTGCATGGAGTAGTAGAAGGCACAGGTGAGGGTTTTTGTGTCAAACAAAAAAAGGTTTTTGGTTCTGCCTATCTGCTATACACAGTGCAGCTTTGAACAAGTTACTTCCTCATTTGCAACATAAAGATTGTTGTGAGGACCATTTTAAATCACGTGCGTGATGGTGTCTAGAGTAGAAGAAGTTAATGTTATCCTTCTTTACATATCCATGGGCTCCTCCCACTCTCACATTGTCCAGTGTCCTCATTCTCTCAACCTCTAATTCCTTATAAAATAAATGGGCTGATAATTGCTTTCACCTTAAAGTGTTAAGTGACTATTATGTTCAATATTTTAGTTTTTACTGGGATGTTATTTTAACAGGGACTAAAATCTAATGTCCAAGAAATGAAATAGTAATTATAAAATGAAACCTACTTTAGTCAAAGAAATTCAGCCTTCCTATACACCATTCCCCACAAAATGAAAGAGGCCTTCTTGGAGAAATGGCTGATTCCAGGATAAAGACAGGAAAGTACAAAGTGAACCTGGAACATCTTGTGCTAGGAAATATGGAAGTGCTTAAAAAATTGTAGAGGTATGCAGAAAGAACACAGAAGCCAACTTAAAAGGGGCTCTCACTGGCTGAACCTGGGAGAGTTCGATGATTAAAGTAAATAGTGACAAAAATCGAGTATATCACATTGAATAAAAATAAATTTGAGACCATATTTACCCTTAAAAATGTTAAGGTGGGTGTGGAGA